TGGTTAGCGCCACCTGGTGCATCCTGGTGTTAGTTATGAACTGCCCAGAGTGGCCTTAGGTTTGATGAGTGGTATAATCACCCAACCAACCCACCAACCCAACCCATCAACCAACCAGTAAGTAATTATAAAGAACTCAAAAGTGATTTATCATTACCTCCTTTGGGGGGGGGAGGGCGCTCTGAGACGACCCTGCAGTTTTCCCAAGGCCACACAGGCGGACTCTTGCGAGGCACAGAGGGGAATTGAACTCCTTGACATGATGAGACATGCGGTCCAAAAAGTTGGATTTTATTCCAAGCTGCACAGCAAGATACAACAGCAGCTGGATCATTCTCTCCTGTCTCAGCACTTTGCCAGGCCTTTGGGTGGAGAAGGGAGAGCAAACTGCTGACAAGAGATATGAAACAATTGATGCCATCATATATTTTTTTGCAAAAAAAAAAGCAGTATTTCAGGTTGTGATTGTACTTTGGAATCCAGGCCAAAGGCTTAAGTCAGCCTAAAGAGAAGAGGAGGCTTAAACCACCTGGTCTGAGGGTGTGGGTCCCAAGGTAGGGCAGAGTTCTGATCTGCCACCAATGAACTCATGGGCCCGGAGGATCCGCCAGCACAACAGCTGCCAAGCGGCCACACAGCCTGGCAGCGAGAGGTCGTTTAAGGACTGGCTGGGACATCATAAAAATGTCTGACACACCCACCCATTCCTTACAGAGGGAGCCGAGAGAGGACCAAGCGGCGACCTGGGGGGCTGACCTCGGGGAGAAACCCATGCCTTTTTCAGCCACATCTTTCCCAGTGGCATCAACAGAGCCTCAATTCAGAGTGTGGGCTCCGTGCCCAATGAACCGGGGAAAGTTACTTGTTTTCTGGACTCCGTGTCCTAGGATCCACCAGGCAGACAGATCACCCCTTCTGTTGGCCACCGGTCCTGGGAGCTGTATCCCCAAAGGGTACCTTTTCCAACCCCTGGGCTCCACGCAAATAAATGAATAGACACTTGATGTTATAAATGCCAGCACTGAACGCCCACTGATGCAACGAGGGTAGGGGGGAAACGCCAGCCCGCCCAAGGTTACTCTGCTGAGAATCTTAAAACAGGCATTTTGGAGCCAAGAAACAACGGGGGGAAGGGGACTGCGCCTCCTGAGTTCACCGGCACAACTCATGCCAGGATATCTACATTCCCCGTGACGGGTTGGCAAATAAACAGGGCTCAAAGTGTGACATTACAAATACCATGATTGAACACAATGACACACATATACAAAACGAACAAAAAACATGTAGACAAATGTGGGAAACAAAACAAAACACAAACTGAGATAGTCAAAATATATCCTTCTTCTATCATCTTCTTTTATCATCTTCTCTAATCTCCTTGGAAAAGGGCTTGATGGATACCATCGACCATCAGAATGACAAGTAGGTAGGTGGCTGTTAGACCAAAGGCGTGAACTCTCTCTAAAGGCAAAAACGACAAAACGGAGGCTATCACACTTTGGGCAGGAATATCGTGGTAAGCTACGATAAGCTACGATTCCTTAGAGAAGACAATAATGCTGCTAAATGTTGAAGGCAGCATAAACGAGGAGCGCTGGACACAGAATGGATTGACTCAGTAAAAGAAGCCATGGGTTGGCTTTGAATTTGCAAGACCTGAGGCAAGGCTGTTGATGGTTTGTTTTATTTCTTTATTTCAAATATTTTTTTATTTTTGATGACATGACCTTTGGGCGGTCATATTCCTTCAGAGGTTTCATCATACGTCAAAATTATTTGATGCTCAGGGTGGAGAACAGAATGATAGACTAGCACTCAGGAGGCCTGGGTTCGAATTCCTGGGGATGTGGAACTGGTAAAGCCAGCCCTTAAATATCTCATTTACTGTATCTCGAAAGCTCCTATACCGTTAAGTCTCTCCCAGTGTAAGAAACACACACCACAGGAGTGACAATGATGTGGAATCTGATGCCACCTAGTGTCAAAGAAAGAGAAGTGGGACATACTGGTGAGTTCTGGGGTAATAGCCACACTTTATTTGTGAGTGGCTGCTGTGGGAGTTTATCTGTGAGCCACCCACAAATAAAGTATTTCTGCCATATATCAAAGGGATCACGGACCGCATGGGGAAAATTTTGAAAAAGCACAACCTACAAACAGTATTCAGCCCCACCACAAAAATACAACAAATGTTACGGTCAGCAAAGGACAAAAGGGACCCCCTCACCACAGCAGGTGTATATGCAGTTGTGGCCAGGTATATATTGGAACCACAAAACGAAGCATCCACACCAGAATCAAAGAACGTGAGAGACACTGCAGACTAAAACAACCGGAAAAATTGGTAGTAGCTGAACATGCCCTGAAACAAGTTGGACATGAAATTCTATTTCAAAATACAGAAGTGCTGGACAACACCAGCAATCATTATGTTAGACTGCACAGGCAAGCCATTGAAATCCACAAACACCAGCAGAGCTTCAACAACAACAAAAAAGAAAGTCTAAAACTCAACAAAGCCTGGCTCCCAGCACTGAAAAATACAGCCCGCAAAAGGTCAACAAACTCTACCCAGCCACAAGGAACAGTGACCACTGCAGACAAAAGACAGGCTAACAACACCCATCAACCACAGTGACAGATAATCTCTCTCCCTCATCACAACAATACACCCACAAACGGAAAAACACCCTGATCACCATAATCACCCAATCTCCTGAAAAGGACAAAAGCTGATCCCACAGCTATAAATACTCAACTAGCCAAACAAACTGCACCAGAGCACAGACAGAGTTGTGACTCCTGTCCTCTGAAGATGCCAGCCACAGAGACCGACGAAACGTTAGGAAGAAAAACCTACAGAACGCGGCCAGACAGCTTGGAAAACCCACAGCAACCACTGGATCCTGGCTGTGAAAGCCTTCGAGGATTCATTAGATCTTTAAAGACTCTTGCATTCAACCAGAGTTTTGGAGGGTGGGAGTGATGGGCGGAGGAATTAGAACTCCCCAGGAAACATGGGTTTTAGTCTCCCTGGATGAGGATGCTGGGATCTGTAGTCCTCCAATCTTCGACACCCCCTCCTCCGAAGCACACATTTGCTCCAGTAGCTGGAGGCACTTGGGCTGTTCTTAAATCCCCCCCAGACTGGGGAGAAGCTGGGAAGTCCCTGGCTGGCCGGCCGGCCGATGGCGGCTGAGTCATCTCCGGCTCTGCCATCCTGCCAGAAGCTGGCTTGCTCGTGTGGGCACACCGGATGGAGCAGTTTCCACCTGATGCCCCGGGTGTGTCTTTGAAGCGGATGCTTCTTCCACCCTTGCGTTCCAAACACAGGTTGAGGCAGCTCTCCCCTTTTTTTCCTCTCCTCCAGGCGTTAACTTTCTGCATAGGGTGGCCGCAACGCACCCACCCCCAGCCCGGGCCTGACGTTTCCATTGCAAGAGGAGGAGGGTTAAAGGGGGAGCAGAAAACAGGCCTAGAGTTCAACAAAAAAGGGGCAAACACAGCTTTTCCGAGGTGTGGAAAACAGGGTGAAAGACTCAACACACTTTGTAAGCCTTTTTTTCCTGGATTTTATAAGCCAGGATGGCCTGGGGGTGTGGGGGGAAAGAGATATTGGGGATTCTGGGATTTGTGGTGCAAAAAGGTAACTTTCCCAGGTACTGAACTAGTATTCAGCTTTGAGGAATCTGAGGTTGCCACCAAAAAGCTCTCTCTTTTTTCTCTAGGGAGGAAAAAAAAAATCTTTTTTGCCTTTGGCTGCCATGCTGGCCTTAGGCAGAACTGAGGCAAGAAGCCCAACGGGAGGGGGGGCAGGAGAGGGGTCCTGATCCCCCCCCCGAACATGCCTGCCCCTTGCCCCCGCTCTCTCCAGGGTGGTGGGAAATGCCCCATCACCAATGCCCCTCTGCCCTGCAGGCTTTCCCGCAGGCAACGGTTTGTGGGTGGGTGTTTGCTGTTATTCTTCGCCCCCAGGCGGCACAAGGTCTTGGTCGGCCACCCAAGCACCCCGGACGGGGATTCCTCGCAAAGCAGGAAATGCACTTCGCCCGTGCTCAGAGGCCCTCGCCCTAGGACTGCAATGGAGAAGCGCTTGGGACCGAGGCTCGACCCGCTGAACTCCGGCCCGCTTCTGCAGGCGAGGGCGAAGCCAGGCAGGCAGATATCCGTCCGGGCGAGCCCAAAGGGGTGGGGGGGTGGATTTTATTTTTTTTTTAAATTTAAGCCCCACCTCCCCCCTGGCTGCCCCATGCCAAGATGGCACCCCCGGCTTCCCTCTCGCGAGACCCGGCTGCTGCTCCTCCTTCCCGGCGGGGGCTGGAGCTGGAAGCGGGGAATCCCCAGCGCGTGGTTTCGGATGGGAAAGTGGGGCTGGCTTCCCTTTCCATTCTCCCGGGAAAGGCAAGGCGGAGCGGGGCCGGTTGCACCGCCGCCACCGGGGAAGGACCCGCCGTCGTCTTCTTCCTCCTCCTCCTCCTCTTCCTCCTCTTCCTCGGCCCCCCCCTTGGGGTAAGGCAAGTCCCTTTGGAAACTCCCCTGCAAGGGATCAAAGGCGGGGAGAGGAAATCCAAATGGAACGTTCGACCCGCGAACGTTCGGAGCGTGGAACGTTGGGGGGCCGCCGCGTTCCATTCCGCCGAACGCTTGGCGGGACCGCGTGGGACTCTCTCTCTCTCTGCCCAAAAACAAAAGGAAGGGTATGGGAGGTGGACCCGATCCTGGGGGGGGGACTTTTCTTTTCTGGGGAAGGAAGGAAGTTATTGTGGGTACGGGCGTTCACGACCTGTGTCCGCTTTACACGGAAGTAAAGCGGACACGTTTTGGCGGCTGCAGAACGGGCGGTTCTACTCTAGAGGAAGGTCTGTGCAGTTGTGTCGACTGGAGGGGGGTCTAGGTTTGCAAAGCTGGGAGACGGGAGCCTTTCCTCAACCCCCAGATCTGGAGGGAGGCGGGCAGGATCCTGCTGTCCCCCCCCCGTTGATAATGCAAAAAAAAAGGAGACCTCTCTCTCTCGCACCCCCACCATTTGCAAGGAAAAGAGACGGGTACGTGGGGAGGGGTTTGTTTTCAAGACTTAGTCGGAGGGGGGTCTAGGTTTGCAAAGCTGGGAGACGGGAGCCTTTCCTCAACCCCCAGATCTGGAGGGAGGCGGGCAGGATCCTGCTGTCCCCCCCCCGTTGATAATGCAAAAAAAAAGGAGACCTCTCTCTCTCGCACCCCCACCATTTGCAAGGAAAAGAGACGGGTACGTGGGGAGGGGTTTGTTTTCAAGACTTAGTCCGTGTATTTACCGTTCTCTCTCTCTCTCTCTCGCACCCCCCCTTTGCAAGGAAGAGACGGGTACGTGGGGAGGGGGTTGTTTTCAAGACTTAGTTCGTGTATTTCTGCCTACCCCCTTGCGACTAAAATTCCCTCCAAAGTTGCAAGCTTTCCTCTTACACAGGGCTCTTTATCAAGCTGGGTGATACCTAAATCATAGGGGAAGGGAGAGGAATCGCTATGCACCCCAATGGTGCAGGGAGCTGGGAAGACCTTCCGCTCCTTTTCTGGTTTATAAGGGTCCCTTCCAGCTCTGGAGGCTTAAGATGATGGTGATGATGATGAAAGTATTCCTTATGGGTGGATTTGGGCTGTGTTTTTGATTCTGAAGCCTGTGCCATCGTTCATTATGGCCAGAGGGGTTTTTTGGGTGGGGAGAGCCGCCTTGTGTAGGAGAGTGGATGAAACATTGGCCTGTCGGTGGAATGAACCTGCACCCCTAGACCAAACTGGGGAATCTGCCTCCTGGTTTGCAAAGGGTTCTGCTCAGTCGGGTGGATGGGGGCTTCTGCACCTTGAGTAGGAAGATCCACCCGGGAACGCTGCCATTGGCCTCTTTCACACACTTTTAATCAAAGGTGCAGGAGCCCCCACTCTGTGCCCGGCTGAACTTGGAAACCGGGTTGCCGTGCAGAGGGGCATCCTTGCCTTGGATCA